AGATCCGAAAAGCGAGTTTCAAAAGTGACAGACAACTTTTGAAACATTGTGTGTCTATAAAGCTATAGGAGACGAGTCTCCAATAAAGCAAGGAGTGATCATCGAAAGGGAAAGCCCTTGGTGTACTGGCCGCAAGAGGTGGGCCTAAGGCAGTCTCCGAGCGGCACTTAACCACGGAATGATGGGTACCAGCACTACATGCGCCCACCAGGGCCAGGTGGCACAACACTTCCGCACTTGTACGCAAAGCCTGCAGGAGGAGCACTGGAGCAGAGCATGGGGATTCACACAGCACATGGCAACCGAGCGAAACACGGAAGCACCGAAAATGAACCCTGTAGGGTTGATTGCAATGCCGTTGGAGCACTACTGCTGGCCCCGCGGGCAACATCATTCGCGGCCGCGGATGCGACCATCCAGCAAGACCATGTATGGGTGAGCGTCTTGCCAGGATTAGTTACGTCACTGGCGGATGGCTCGTCATCCCTGAACTGGGAAGCTTGGCTGTAGGCAGGGACTAGCACTGGGTGCACGAAGGGAATTGGCAGCATGGCTGCAAAACAATGGTATTCTGCTTGGTTCCACACCGGACAAACTGGCCACTGGTGCAGGAAGGCGGACCTGAGTTTGGAAGGCTTGGGCGGTGCGCCAAACATTGCTTCCGTCACAAGGGTCTTCAGGCGGACGATGAGCACGTTGACCAGGATGCCACGGTCGCCTCGAACACAACAGACAAGGCATGCACTACCACTATAGACAGCATGGCACTGTTTTTCAAACCACATGACTCTACAGGCAAGATTCCTCAAGGAGGCTACCAAACATCACAAGCAGTCAGTGTTTACAGAAAGTCATGCGCTCATGATCATGGCTTTGAGCCTGCATCCTTGCATAAGCATCAATAGTCCAATGGACACATCTGGCACCATGGCCATGTTGTATGACAGCCCCTTGGCTCATACAAAGGCACCATGTGCCACTTCATGAGACCCTCATAGCCCCTTGGCTGAGCAGACATTGCTCGTCTCATGCAATTGTAACATACAATACATGTGTGAGCGCAAGCTCATGTCTTTTCTTGCTTTGCAAACCGCATCCTCATCATTAGTCCGGATCAGCCTTGCTTTCAAGGCAACATCGCGACTTCCATCTGATATGGGTTGCAGATATTGCAAAACACATTTGCAACGCGCCCGCATCACCAGCTTGGCTTTGCCGGTGTTTCGAGGCCACATCAGGACGACCATCGGATATGGGTTGTAGACAGTGCAAAACACATGTGCAATGTGCACGGCTCATGAACAAGGCCCCGTAACGTGATCGCGCGTCAAAGCGGCAAGACAACTGCGGGCATTGAAGTTATGAGCACGGAGAAACATTTGGAGCCGCTCACTAGCGGAGGGACCCACTAGCTTTGTTAGGAGGGCCCAGTAGGAAGCCATTTTACGTGGCCCCAAAAGGATCGCCTGGGGCACCGGGATGCAGCAATTGGCATCAAGGATGATGAGGGTGAAACCCTCTCCCACCAAGCTGTTGCGCACCTGCTGCAAGGAAACCTCATCATGGAAGTTGAAACCTGGTGGGGTCCTGAAGTCCCACTGTTTCTGTCCAAGGTCCCGGCACTTGATGCCAGCAAGGGTGGCCTGAAGCACAACTCGACAACATTGGAGAGCCAGAGAAGTGCATGCTGCGGGAGGCAGAGCTGGGCCCTCCAACAAAGCGGTCAACGGGATCGCGCGTTCCGCAACAACATAATGCGCCTGGCACAAACCTTTCTCTCCAAGGGACACCCAAATGGAGCCGCTGTCGAAGATGCGAGCAAAGGCCGCAGGACACGCAGTAGCGCTTCGAACTTCATTGACATTGTCGGCGTCACATCCAGCGAGCTTTAACACCAGGTTGGCAGCTGGCTCCTCACCCTTCAGATGGTACACCTTCCGGAACCCACCTTTGAGCTCGGGCGCCCTGCTCGAGCCCAAAACCGACAAACTTCGCCCATCCACATCCAGGGCGAGACGAAGGTCATCCGGGAACATGTCTTTGCCTGTCAAGAATCCTGACGCACGCAGGAGCTTTATCGAGGGCCACGCCTTTGCCTCACTGGGCATTGGACCTTGATTGGCCTCTTGACTGGGGGCAGGAGAAATGGCGGGACCACTGCGCTGATTGGCCAAGCAATTTCCGCAAATGTCAAAGTCGCAGACCCTGCATCCCCAAAGCAAGCGCCGCGTGGCGAACTCCCTCTTGCACACGCTGCACCACCAATTTGGTTCAGGCGACCCAAAGGAAAGCAACGGATGACCTGAAGGACACGTGGGCCGGGCATCAAGTCTGGCCAGAAATGCCTCCGCATTCTCCGGAGTGAGCGTGACTCCCTCGCCAGATGTGGCTGAGTCACTTGAGCGGCTGACGTCTTCGGGCTCAAGTCTCTTCCGCTTAGGGGTTGGCGGACGAGGAGGCAGTGGCCGACCACCGGGCAGCAGGGCTTCGGATGTGCCGCACACGCTTTCCAGAACCAGGCTTCAGCTTCCCCAGCACAAGGGGAAGCTGTGGCTTGCGTGGGGAAGCATTCGGTCCGCCGGGGAATTGAGCCTGGACCGGTAAAGACAGGCCGCGAACTCATGGAAGCTACCACTTGCTGCACTCTATGCGTTGACACCTTCATGCGCACATCAAGGACACCTGCTGACCCCATGAAAACCCGCCTTGGCCCTGGTCGGACCTCGTCACGCATGGTGCCAGTGGGCACACCTTGAACGGAAGTCCCCGACACAGCTGGACTTTTGTGTGAAGAGCACTTTGAGTTGAGCCCACTGGTTTGGGACGGGCGAAGGGATGGCGCACTGCTGGTACCAGCAGGGACCTCGAGCTGCGAGTGGGTAGCCTGCTTTGCGGACGTGACATGACCACAAAATGAAAGGCCTTTGAGCTCGGGCTGGTCCTACCAGCATTTGAAACAGCAGTTTTGGCTTCAACCCCAGAGTCATTGGTCCGAGGGCTGCAGGTAGCAGGAGCTGGCTTGCCACGGGCATCATGACTCATATTGAAGTCCAGCTGTATGTCGGGATACGGCACACCCACAGTTTCAGCATCCGAACTACTAGGCGTAGAGCTACCCTCCTCCCGCAGGTGATCATGTTGTCTGGCGACATAAACCGATGGGACGCTTCGGCCAACAAGATCGGGTACAACACCATGGGGCTCCCCATCCTTCGCAGGCATCGAGCTTGAGGAAGCTTCAGAAACACCAGGACAAGTGGGTGATGTGTCCCTCGCAACGCCAGTATGAAACGCTGTGTGCTCAAGCTCCTCCAATGGCTCAAGGCATGAAGTCACTGCGTGGCCAGAACGGGGCACACATGGCTGGGCACGATGAGATGCATTCAGCTCATCAGGCCTGGATGGCTGTTCGATGGGTTCAGCAGGAGAACACGATTCATCAGCCTTAACCAGGCGGGCCCAGACACGCTCAGGTGCACCATGTGTTGGCTCGCAAGAGTGCTCGGCTTCCCCAGACGAAACAGCTCCACCAGCTTCGGTCGTACACGCAGCATCCCTATGCTGAACGGAAGGAACAGACCCCATGCGGACAGCATCATCTAAGGATTGGCCATCAGGTTTCTCAGGCACCAAATCTTCGGCTTCACTCCCACGTAGCGCTGCACCAGACTGTGCTGTAAGGGAGGAGCCAACATTGACATGGAACCTTGCTGGACTATTAACAGGCGCACAAAGCCCAGATCCCGAGGCCGTGGATTGGCCATCAGGTTTCTCAGACCCCAAATCAACGGGATCACTCCCACGCAGCGCATCAAGAGACTGTGATGATTGGGCAATTCCCATTCTTACAGGGGCATCAGAAGCCTGGTAGCTAGGCTCACCAAGCTCAGACCTCACAGCCTCTGAGGTTTGGATGCCATGCTTAATGTCTGCCGGCCCATCTCCTTTATTGGAATGTTCCCCCCTTTTGACCGCTGGAGATGGCCCGGGGAGACCTCCTGAAGCGCTTGACCACACACACCGGGGCGACACCGGGGGGTGTTGGGGTGGCGGGGGGCGCAGTGGTTGCAGGGGGCTCGGGAGACGCCATCACCTGTCGTAGACTGCCAGGTACCAAGCAATCACACAGTGTGCGCACCAGTGGTGGTTGTGGTTGATGCGGTACCTGATACAACCGTTACGGCCACACTGCTGACAGATTTGCTGACAGGCTGGGATGGCAGGATCCTGCTCGACAAGCGGCTCTTGCACCGCACGGCGTCCGCACGTGGAGCCCATGGAAGGCTAGCAGAGGCTGATGGCCAACAGAAGGAAAGCCACACCCAGGCAGAAGCCGGAACAGAGACACGCGCAGGGGCGATTGGCAGGAGTTACCGGCCCAGGGGCGCCCAAACACACAGGCGATGCAATCGCCGCTTGCCCGCGGAGGCGAGCTCCCATCCACTGCCTGCTTCACGCAGGCAGCTTGCACAGGGCCTAAGGCCAAGGTTAGAAGCGGGGCCTGTTTGAAGCAGGACCTGTTAGAGCCCCAGACCCCGGTTACACACAAATTTTCGCACGGTGCAATGAGCCAGTGCTGCACTTCAAGGGACACACATAAAACAGCCACATTACCCATAACGATGCATCCAAATATCATGGCAGGTTGCTCACCAAGGCACATCGCAACAAGTTGCCGATAGTCACTACCACTTTGCATTCGCTGACCACAGAGACATGCAGGCCATGCGACAGGCAAGTGTTGGACATGTGAAATTCAAAGCATCAAAATAACTTTTGGCTTCAAACAGCGAACAAACGGCATTCCGTATTTTTCGCAAGGCATTATTGGAAGCAAGCGATAAAACACAATTCGCTCGCGAACAGTAAGCCTCCGGTGTAACCATGGATCGCAGAGCCCACACGGCTCACCGCGTCCGCCCAGTTACTCTTGGAGGGAACATATTCCCAGAAAATGGATGTTCGAAGAGTGAACAAGGCACGTGAGGTGGGCTAGGCGTTCAAGGTCCGGCGAGCTTGAGCCCTCGGACAAGTGCCATAAGCGCTGCCACGTTGTCAATGTACCAATAGCCGCGCCTTCCCCGGAAAGATTCGGCACGCACCACCAGCCCGTAGAAAACCATGGCCAATTCCAACTGGGCGATCTTGTGCTCACCTGGTGCGAATAAGGCGTAGAGCTCTGAGTTCACTACGGCTGCGAGGCTCTCGCGCTTCTCTGGCTTGTCCAACCAAACGATGTGGAAGCCTCCAGTCCCTTGCCCCGGCACGTCTTCGGCTGCGTCGCTCGCAGCAAGAAACCTTGGAAGTGGCCGCGCTCTGGTCGCACTGCCAACACCGCTAAGATCATCTGCAGACTGGATTCTATTGGTGGGGTCAGCTCCCGACCTGTCCCATCTGCTCTCTCGCGGATAGAGCGCAGGCCTCCGGCTCCTCCCATACATGCCCTGCTCCAAGATGTTGCACGTACCATACAGCTTGGACGCCTGGCCAGCGGAGAGCAACCCGGACGATAGGCTAGTTGTCACCAAATCCTGCCCCTTCTGCAGTAGACGCTCACGCACAAAGAACTTGACGCGCCCACTTTGCAAGGCCTGGGAGAAGTCAAAATCGATGCCTAGAAATGTGTTGGTGCCATCGCTTGCCGCTTGTCTTGTGCAAAGGGGGAGCCCAACATAGAGTTTAGCTCGGAACAGGCCGCTTGCCCCGATCCTTTAGATGACTGCCAATCTGTCATCGAAATAGAGGGCGTGACGAGGATGCCGAGCAATCTACGCCCCAATGCTTCGACGGCCTAACGGGAGGCCGAACAACAAACCAGAGCAGAGCTGGTAAGCGGGTTGGCACCATTCCTGATGCCACCAGACCACCACACACGCCAGACTCGCCCGATGGGACATGGGGCAGTGGCGGTAAGCGTCGGGCCAGTCCTCGCCCCCGCCCTCCAGCGCAGCATACGTAATAGGATCTGAGCGAAGCTCCGACTGGCCTCCGGCATCGGCGTTGTCACTTGTCAATCACCCTTTGTTTGCCACTGCTCTGCGTAATAACGCATCTGGGGATTAGACGAAACTGCTCTCCCCTGACCGCTCTCACTAGCTCCGGAGCGGCTTCGAACAGAAGCCGTTCTCGGCATCCTTCAAGCTTTGAGCTAAGAGGACGGTGTCGTCCTTTCCCGGCCGCAGGCTGGCTTGGACACGGCTGGGCCTCCACATCTTCAAAGATCTCGTCCTGGCCTATCGGACTGGAACCTGCCATGGGAAAACTCCGTAGTATGGGGCCGTCCCCACGGCTGCCATGCCTTCAATGAAAGCCTGGGGTAACGACAAGTCCCCCCCACCCCACCAGGAGCAACAGTAAGGCGAGAAAGCCAATGTCCCGTCTGGCTGTCACTCGCCGCACCCGTGGCTCCTGCCCTGCCGCAAACAGGCGTCGACCCCAGCCCACCTGCGCTTCAGCTCTCCAAGCGCCCCCACGACGATCCGCCGCGACTGCCGGGAGAGTCCCTCTCCCAGCTGCGGTCACCTCCGCAGCAAACTGCAGATCAAGATCGAGAACGGATTCGGCCTCAAATGGGGTAGGGCAGTGGGCCAGGTCCCTGGCCAAATCGAAATGCTCGTCAGGGTGCAGGCCGAAAGGCAGTATTGGGAGCAAGGCAGCTCTGTGCGGGCCCTCAGCATTCCGCTGCCACTGCCTCTGCTGGGCACTGACCATCTGCGGCAGCAGAGGGCCGTCCCACGGCAGATCCTGCGCCCGAAACCACTGCCGAAAAGAGGTGAATGGCGGACTATTGCTGAGGGGAAGCGGAAATCTTGAAGAAGGTTTGGCGAGAAGATGCATCTTGGTGCAAGTACGGGACCACGGCCCCCACTGGAGTAGGCAACGCTCCAGCTGCTGCCGCGAGAACAACTCTCCGTCGCAATCCCCGATGCCTGCGCCCCGGCCGTCCCGCAGCCGCATCCTGGAGGCCTCCCCTCCTGGAACATCAGGCCTGCCAACACATCCGCTTCGCAGGCTTGGGACAGGGGACAGTCGCAGTCGCAGGCCAACACTCGACCCTCGAGAGACCTGAGCATGTGGCTCATGATGTGTTCTGTCAAAAAAAAAAAGAGCCAGTCGTCTACCCCACAGTTAAATCTGGAACAAATGGACAAGCCCACTGCGTGACTGGCAGCCAGTGAGTGTGGCGGTGTCCCCTCCCCACATACACGTGGTCCGCCGGGCAGGGAGTTGTCGGGCTGCAAAACCGGCGCGGCACGCGCGCCGCCTCCCCCGGGTCGAGTGCAACATGGCCTGAGCCCTAAGGAGATGGCCAGCGGCGCCATGGCCCACTCGCGCAACGCTCGCGGATCCAGCTGCATGCAGCCAATGGAATGCTAGCGGGGCTGACACTCTGCCTCTGACGCTGTGGGAAGGACGATCTGGTCTCCCATTTCAGGGTTCCCACTCCGCTGGGTCGTGGGTATGGTGGCACTTCAGCGATGGCCCCTGGGTCAACTCCCAGAGATTGTGCCGCAGACGCTGCGCCTTGCGGCGTGCCCCCATGAAGCAGCATGCGTGGTAATCGGTGCCGGAGCTAAGCCAAAGAGCCGACCTGCATCAGTGAGTGACACCGACGAGAGCTTCTTCGATCGGCTGGCGGAGCGCAGCCTGGCTTTGGCTGGCACAAGGGAGGCCTTGCAGATCCCGAAACAAGGCATTGCCCAACGCACTGGTGCGCCAATGTGACCTCGTCCTATGTTCCCCCTCGTCAAGCATATGTTGTTTGTGGGAGGGGCGGCACGTCCTGGTGCATTGCATTGCAGGGAGGCATCGGGGTGGATCCACAGCCGTGACATGCAGAGCAATCTTGATGGGAGAGCCCTTCGAGAGGCCGAGGAGCACGTCAAGGCCCTCCGCGACGTGGAGCTGGACAAGGTTCGCTGGCAGAACCGTTCCATTGCGGAGTGGATGGAGAAGGCGGTGCGGAAGACCAATTTGGGAGCGGCACCTCCCGTAGTCTACATTGCGTCCAGGAACTGGCTGCTCCACCTAGACACTGAAGGGGGAGTGACCCTCTGTCAGCATCGCCAAGTTGCGGGCGCTCGCGGCTTCGGACAAGTCCGAAGCCTTTGCGTGGCAGAAAGAGCAGTGCAGAGGTTGTTTCAGTTTGGCCGGAGCCCGATGGCAGTCTCCATGATCGGGTGAATGGCCCAAAGTGTATTGCCCTAACGAGCTAGCGTGACCTACGAATCAGAGCTTGCTGGCCTGCACATGTGTGCTTCAGTTTTGCGTCGGGCATAAGTCTTCGGATCGGCTCGTCGCCGCCTGGTCAGCTTTTCGTACTTTAAGTCCCAGTGTCACGCGAGCATAGCTGAGAAAAGGCGGTTGCATTGAGACAGTTTCTGAGGGTGCCTGCCAGATCAGTAGCATTGCGTGATGCCATACAGTGAATGCGCTGCTGAGGGTTGCCTGCTTGTTGATTCCATGTGAGTACTGCACATGAGAGACTCCTTGCATGAGCAAGTGTGTGGCAAGCACCAGTGCTGTTCTTATATGTGGCATTTTGGCTTGGATGAGGTACATTCGAGCAAGCCGGGAGAGACCTGGCGAGCGTGCTCCAGGTGGGACCTGGAGGGAAGCTCAGAGGGCATAGGCCTCCAAGAGTGACTTGGTGATGGCTCAGTCGTTGGTCCCGCGTGACGGGGGGGATTTCAAGGCTGCCCTTGCCACTTTAGCTACTAATTTTAGTCTCGCACCTGAAGTCACAAAACGTATTGAGTCCGAGGGAGTGACCCACTTGGAGGAGCTGCGTTATCTTTTCGACAGTGAGGAGCATGTGGGTCGATGGATCACTAAGTTGGGTTTGGGTGACGCCACCATCATTCAAACAGCTCGCATGCGTCGTGCGTGGCAAGCGGTGCGTCTTTATTTTAACCAAGCCGAACAGGATAGGTCGAAAGTTACACTTGCCGACCTTGATTCGCTACTCGAAGATGGGGAACTTCGAAACGTCAAACAATCCTTTTGGAAGCGGTATCGTTTGCGATTCCCTTCTGAGGTGCATCCGGCAGACTCGCTGCTGTCCAGAGTCTCGCGGGAGATCGCCAAGCGCATGTTGCGCGTGTACCCTATCTGGAAGGTGCGCAATCTACAATTCCAGCTCACCACCGTGCAAAAGAAGCGCAGAGTGGGAGGCAACCTCTGGACTGAGGAGGTGGAAGCTGAGGATACAGGAGTGCATGACGAGACTGACGAGAACACCTACCTCGACAAGCTGCATACGCTGTTGCTGGCATATGCCATGGCCGGGGTGGAGCCACTGCCTGGCGTGGGTCTAACCAAGGAGTCGACCTGGGGGGCAGCATCGGGTTGAATCTGTTGGTGTGCCTTTGGACACAGTGCTGGCATATTACTATCGAGCCAAGAAGTGCACTTTGTCATTGCCAGCAGGTCGTAGGCTGGCGTGGTTACAGGCCAAAGACACCGAAGAGCGTAGCGAGTGGGTTACAAGATTTCGCGAAAGCACAGACTCTCTGGGACTGGGGAAGAAGACAGCAGCCGTGTTGAAAGACGGAACACGCCTATGCTTGACTTCCAGCGTGGGACATGCAAGGCAGCGGCAGGCAAATGCGGCAAAGTTTCAAGGGGCCCACCGGTGCGGGGTCGTCGTGCGAGCACAGCGGGCAGGCCATGGTGCGGCTTCATGCCGGGTTCCCACGAAGGCATGAGGGGGCCCTGAGGGGGGTGAGGAGGCACCCCCCTAAAAAGACAGACGGCCCCCATGAGGAGTCAGAGGACGGTCAGCCAGTAGCAGCCGACCTCATGCGCGGTCGCAACTTGTTGTATTGTGGCTGGAGGGGCGTGCTGGTCAATTTGGTACTCGACCCTACGATCTGGCATCGGCCGAACGCCAGCCCTTGGTGCAGCAGGCTGTGGATCAGGCGTGCCTGTACGTCCAGAGCAAGGGAGATTTCTCGAGATGTAGGGCCACATCCGGAAGCGCTGAGACCGCTCCGGAGTGAAGAACATGCGATGGGGATTCCAGGGCTGGACGTTCGAGCACAGCGCAGGTTATCCCGAGACAACGTGGCCTGCAAGTTTGTGCTGGATTTGCAGCAGCAGGTGGTGGATCGTGGGGGTGGAGGATCCCAGGCAGACTTGGAACGAGGCATGTTGGAGGCGGCCGCGCCGGCTGCGCCGAAGCCCACCGGCGCCTTCTTCACCTTGATCTCCGCCTTGGGCACCCGAAGCATAAGCTTGACCTTCACCTCTCCAAGGCCCTCCATCCTGACCGCAGCTCCGGGACCCCACTACTGGAGCTTGCTGAGGGGCTCTCGCGCCTGTCGCTCAAGCCCGGCTCTTCGCGCTGCACCTCACTGGCGGGAATCAAGCGTGCCCACCTTTTCCCAAGTGGTGAAGGCGTAGGAGAAGTCCGCGTCGTCTTCCAGCCCATAGCGTGCAC